GAGAGAGAGAGAACAGAATTCAAAAGAAAGCTTTATTTTCCGAATAAATTAAAGAAAATATTCGAAACGTCAAAATGTATTTCTTCTTAAAATATCTAAATAAAATAAGAATAGTGTATATTCAAAAGTTTGAATTTATATCTCTCATATTTTCGAAAAATCGTAAAAGTTATTAAGAGAACATATAACTTATTTGATATTTCAACAAGTAAAATAAACTAAATCCAATCTAAAGTTGTGTACTCTCTTCAGAAGATAATAATTCAAAAGAGATAAATCAAACTAAATTACGAATTTAAATTCCAGAAATTAAATTCTCGATATTAGATGATGAACTATAAGAGAGGGTGAAATTGGAATCCAATTTAATCATGTTATCTCTTGTCCAAATATGTTTTATAATAATTCTGACAATATTTCAAAGATTAAAAAATGTATATCTCAATTCTCGCTTAATCTAAATGTTTCGAAAGAAAAGATAGTCATGCAAATAGATGTAGATAGTCATAAATCTTTGTTTTAAATGATACTTCAAAATATTAATAAAATTTTAAAAATAATTATGTTTGCAAATTTACTCTACATTTATTATTCGAAATATTGATATACAACTAAAAATCATTCTATTAAAAAAATATACAATTAAACAACAATGCCTCTCTATTTTTATGTATATTATTTTTAGCGCATAATTTATATTCATGCATTATACAATGCAGGAAAGTATCATTAAGCTAAGTTGTGCGCAGAAAATAATACGCTTAAACAGTGCAATCTTGATAGAGCATAATTAAAGAATTTGAGAAAAAATAATTGCTAAGAAACCATGCTAAGAAGAGATAAAGTTGTCAATCAGTTTTAAAACAACACGTTTACTCACGTGCATTCCAAGTCGATCAATTTCTGAAAGTACCCATCCCACAGATCCATCACCACTACACACCAAGATCCGAAATGGATCAAAGTGTCGAAACAGTCTTAATCTATGCAAAAAAATATAATTCATATATTTAATATGTTTAGATCGATTGTTATCAGTCTATGAACAAGAATTTATTTACCCTGGACCTGGTCCTCCTTTTATAAGGTCGAACACTTGTGCGGGATTCAGTAATTGTTTAAATCTCCTAAGAAACTTAATACCTTGATTGTCACCAGATTTACTGTTTACAAATACTAAAAGTGGACTGCATCCTGTAGGTCTAACTGCTTCCCAAGCTTCGTCGCTACCTGATAATCATCATAATTACTACTATCATAAAAATTTTATACGTATACATGTATATATAAAAATTGTTCATATATAAAAATCATGATATAATTATAATTTATAATATGAATAGATAACACAATTACCTATACTATGCAAAGCCGTAGGAGGCACTACACTGAGTTTAGCTGGTCCAAGTGGACACTTGATACTTATGGCAGGTCTGCATGCTGTATGCACAGTTGCTTTGCACCATAAACACCGCCAATCTTGAAGTCTACGGACAATATATTAATATTAATGATATATACTTAATTTTATCAATTATTTACATAAAAATATACATATACCTAAGTACAGAGCCACATGTCTTTTCACAGACAAAGCATTTTGAGGACACTGGCAAATTTCCTTCCATCCACTGATGTGGCATTGTGATGTTCTATAATTTAAAAATGAAATTAATGAACTAAATTAATGAATTAATAAATTAATGAATTAAATTAATAATAATAGGAAATATTACATAAAATATTATTGATACATTTATTAGACAGATAATTGTAAAATATTATTGGAAGGTATACATGTGATAAAATCATACCGTTTTTGTTTTATTCATTCTTAAAGATTAAAAGATTATTTTTAATAAAATAATTCATTCTTAAAGATTAAAAGATTATTTTAATAAAATAATATATGTATTATATACCCCATCTTGGTCCTCAATGATATCTTTCCCAATAGATGCTAAAGTGGTCCACTTGCAATTATTTATTGCTTTTGCACTACATCTCTTATGCACCTTGTATTTACATGCTTCACAACTTAAGCCGTGGGAAGTAACACCTATATCAATATTGCATTGTAAATTTGTTCATCATTTTGTTAATAACTACAAATTTAATTTGACTGTATCAGTAATAAGAACATTTCTTACCATGCAGGGCATCTCTGCAGACATTGCAATATGTAGGTCTGGCGTGACTAGTTGCGTACCATTGGTGATTACCTCCCAGCAACTCGGCAGTTCCAGGATCACCCTGAGGACGATTCTCTGTTCTTAGTGTATTCAACCACTCCTCCATGTCTTGTCTGTTTTCACCACAGAGAACCAAGGACCGAAGCGGAGTTATCACCTAATACATAAGATATATACTAATTATAATACAATCAATATTGCACTATAAAGAAATATAAATGTCATTAAATTTAATAAAAAAATGTTTTAACTGCTTCATATAAAATATATTAGATTCCTGTTTTAATATTCTATGTAATTCGTATTGCTAAAACAATGAATTTAGAATATTGATAATTGAAACATAAACCTGACAACTCTCTGAAAAGCAGATGTATGAAAATAAACTTGGACTTAAAATCTATTCTTATTTTTATATAAAAAAAAGGGATAAAAAGATTCAGACCTAAAGATGAAAAATTCATAATTAACAAGTTCAATTCTCTATGTTCTTTAATTCACCGGCAGAGAGCATTCTTGGCGCAAGATTGACTTAAACGGCGCTCGAAAAAATGTGAAGAAACATCGCGGAGCATTATTTTTGTTTAAACCGTAATACCATGTTTTATCTACTCCGTTTCATTTTGAAAAACAGAGAGAGCCAGCTTAGCCTAATGGAACAAGATATCAGTGTTACAAATGTCACTCAATGCTCGTTGTTGTCCGGCTAGCCGGTCCGTCGGCTATAAACAATCGATAATGGCATTGTTACGGGACCGCGGTAGGAAATAATTATTAAGCCGGCGTGACATTCGGGCGGACAGGTGGGCGATCTAATTAGAGAACTGGGGACGCGGGGACGCATCGTCGCCTCCTTC